AAATCCCTTCTCTTGATGTGCTGAATGCATGCTTCAGAAGAAGAGTGGGAGCGAAGATGCAGCCCTGTTTGACTCCACTGCAGAAGTTGAACGGCTCAGAGGTGCCGCCATTTAACTGCACAGTCCCCTGCATGTCACTGTAGAAGGACTCACTCAAGCTCTGCAGCTTGGGTGGGCAGCCAATCTTGGGCAGGATTCTGAAGAGGCTTTCACTGCTGATGAGATCGAACGCCTTGGTGAGATCAATAAAAGTGACATGCAGGGGCATCTGATGTTCTCTGCACTTCTCCTGGAGCTGGTGGAGGGAGAAGACCATGTCTACCGTTGATCTTTCAGTTCAGAAACCACACTGCGACTCTGGGTAGGCACATTTGGCAAGTTTCTGCAGGCGGACCAAGATGACCCGAGCAAAGACTTTGCCCATAATGCTGAGTAGCAAGATGCCTCTGTAGTTGTTGTAGTCGCTTCTCTCACCCTTGTTCTTGTAGAGGGTGACGATCTTGTCATCTCTCATGTCCTGAGATATTGCCCTTTCTTTCTAGCACTGGTAGATGACCTTGTGCAATGGGAACAGTAGGGTAGTCTTGCAGTGCCTGATCAGGTCAGGAGGGATCCTGTCACTGCCAGAGGCCTTCCCTGAGGCCAAGCTGTCAATGGCCTTGCTAAGCTCCTTTATGGTCAGTTCGGTGTCAAGGTCCTCCATGACTAGCAGGCACTCAATGGCATCAAGGGCTGCAGTCGTCACAACATTCTGCCTGGAGTAGAGGTCAGAATAGTGTTCCACCCATCTCTCCATCTGTTGCTCCTTGTCTGTGATGACTTCTCTGGTGGTGGATTTGAGGGGAGATGTCTTCTTCTGCACTGGTCCCATTGCTGTTCTTGATGCCTCTGATGTTCTGTCCAGTACTCATTCGTGCAGCGTCTGGCAGTTTGATGAGCTTTGTTCCTGGCAGCCTGGAGGATCTGCAGGTTTCTCTTGATGGTGGACCACTGACCACTTGTATTCTAGCTGGCTCATCTTGCTGACATCAATGCGAGGATTTCCCTGCTTCTTGCCATGGTGAAACCTCTTGGGCTGGAGATTGATCTTGCAGCACACCAAGGAGTGGTCTGTATTGCAGTCTGCGCTGTGGTAAGAATGTATGTGAAGAATGTTCTTAATGGTGGCTTGTCTGACCAGAATGAGATCTAGCTGGTGCCAGTGCTTTGAGTGTGGATGTTTCTTGGAGACCTTGTGCTGGGGCTTGGTCCTGAAGAAGAAGTTAGCTATGCACAAGTTGTGTTAAGTGCATAGCTCAAGCAGTCTCTGGCTGTTGTCATTCATCTTGCCAATGCCTAACTGTCCAAGGCACGAAGGCCAAGAGAACAAGTTGTTCCTTGCTGGGGATACTGCTGATGATGGCTGCCAGCTTGTCATAAAACTCGTCCTTGGCATCTGGAGTGGCAGAGAGTGTCAGGGCATACACGTTGACAAGGGTGACAGGGCCTGTGGTGGTGTTGAGGCAGGGAGTGAGGAGTCTCTTGGAGCTGTTGCTGCCTGGTTCTACCATATTCAGCAGGCTGTTCCTCACTGTGAATCCCACTCTGTGTTGTGGTTCGTTGGAGCTCTTCCTCTGCCAGAATAATGTGTAGTACTTTACCTTCAGCAATCCAGAATCAGCCAGGGGGTTTGAAATAAGGGTTTTCCTTCCCCTATCTGAACTGCCTTGTCAACCTATATATATATATGTGTATATATATATTAGGGGTGCGACCAATCGGCTCGACATAAATGTAAAACAATACTAACTTGTCATCATGATTTCTGAGAAATCAGAAATGATACCCATAAAGTAAACACTAAAGCTGTGGTTTTTCACCGTATAGAAACAATTTATTTATCATATATACTAACTCACTGCTTTAAACTTACCTCATACTGCTAGATTCACATATCCATCACAAAAAATAAATAAAATTAGAAAATATTCATCAATCCATCAGTCACTGTTTGATCAGGGCCCTCGCACTAGACTGAAACCCTGAACATGCATACTTAAGTTAAGGAACCACATGTAAAGAAAAAATAGTCCCACAATTCATTCTGCAAAATATCTATATTTTATCAAAAATACGTTGGAAAATATGATTGAAAGAAATTAAATATACTCTTTATGTGATAAAACTTTTTTTAATGGTTGTTTCATATAACATTAAAAGGCATTCTTAAGTGTTATTTACAAATAACAAAGTGCATGAATCTAGTACCCAAAAAACGTTTGCACTATTTTGCATAACGCAGTGAGTTGGTAGCCAAATTTATAGTTTATAATTTTAATTGTTGCAAACCCTAATCATAAGTAAAAGAAAGAATTATGAAGCAGATTTTAAATTAAAAGTACTAAATTTTGCAGAAGAACATGGAAATCAATCAGCAGAAATAAGAATGATGTTTGACTGTGATGATAGTGAAGAAGAATTCTTGGGATTCAGTTCTGAATGAATTTTAAAACTGTAAATAAACATTTTTTATCTAAATGTACTGTAACATTTTCTGTAGTTATTTCTTTCTTTTTTTTTTTGTTGAGTTGACTTGATATAAAAATAATATGCGTAAATATAAAAATACTGGTATAACAGTTACTTCCTTTTGTTTACATGGTGATTGACAAAAATGTATTTTAACTGCAAAAGTTTATTAATAATTGTAAGTTTTGAAATAAAGGTAGATATCTGATAATTCTTGCATTTAAAAATGGCTGTGTAACTCCCTTGATTATAGTGCGACTTATCTGCGAGTCAACAGTAAATCATCAAATCATCATTTATTAAGCCATAAAGTAGGTGTGCGACCTATCTGCGAGTGTATATGGCATTAGAAAATTAGTGGCATCTAATTCATCAGCATCTAAACTGAATTGTATATTGATTTTACTTCTTTTTATGGACACAGAAAAAAGATCTAAGGAAGTAAGCATGTTGTGTAACATCCATATTTTTGTTGATTCAAATTGCATTTTCTAGAATAAGTTATTGCTTAGCAATTTAATCAGAAATTATCTGTACCCATTCCTAAATTTTATGATTTGACTTTCCAACACTTTGAAAGCATTAAATGGATCATCATCATCTGTACTAGTTATGGATTAGAGAACAAAGTGATTGTAAACTTAAAACACAAAATAATATCCATATTCAACCAATCATTCATGCTGAAGCCATTATTTGTGTATTAAAAAAAAGGCATTAAAATATTTTTTTTAAAATTACAATCATTTAATTCTTTTGTCTTAAATCCTATTTATTAAATTTGTGTGTATAAAAAATCAATGAGAAGTTTTGAGTGTTAACCAGTTGAAGCCTGCAACCTGATCATTTTCTAATAGATTATATCTGGATATTTTGGGTAATTTTTCAGTTAAAGGATACAAATTATATAGACAAAGTTTTCAGATGTTTATTTATATAATCATAGCTAATTTATGAGTTTAAAGCACAAGTTTTAATCTGAAATCATAATTAAGGAGTAATTGTGGTTCATTTTAAGTTCTAATTGATCTTGTATAGTTTTAAGATAAACCCTGGTTTTAAAATACGGTGTATGATTACTGAAAATAATCGTTAATAAATTGTATTGATCAACATTGAATTATTTGCTAACTTCTTCTTTATGAAGTATTTTTTGTTTTAAAATGAACTATCATGAAATATTAACTTTTGAAAACTTTTTTATTTTAAGATATACTAGAAATAGAGAATACATAAGTAAACAACATTTTTTACATCTGAAAAGTTTGTAACTTTCTAATTTTAAACCTATTTTGTCATTTTTTTTTCTTTTTAAACCAATAAAAATAAAACAACAGCAAAAATATTTTACTCTACCTCCGTCCTCTAAAATATCATTGCAAATGCTTGTCTTTTCGTCCCTTATACTAAACGTTTTATTTGAAGGATTATTTTCAGATTATATATATAAACAAAAAGAATTCTAATTTAATGTTCCCAGATAATATACATCAGAGAAATGCTTTGACTTGTATTTGATATTGTTGATTTTACTATGCATTCTTTTTTTTTCCCTACAAACAGAAATGAAAGGACACGTTATTGAATCTAGGAAAATATCTCCAAGAAGCAAATAAAAAAAATTATGAAAACTTCTCAGAACATGAAATAATTGATTATCTTACAGAATTTGTATTCTAAGGATCAGTAAAGCCATATATTTTCACAAAAAAAGACTTCTTTAATTTAATTCCAATTGAAATGTTTCATGAAGTCAGTCGGGTGGACAATTAAGAATATTGTTATTTGAAGCAGTTAATAAGCATGTCAATGAAAAGAAGAAAAAAACTGACATGTGCTTTAATAAATTGAATGAATCCTTTCCTTTGTTTTACCATATTTTTTTAATTTGCTTCTTTACAAAGTCTGTTCATATATTTTCCCATTGGTTGCACTCAAACTGCTAAAGTGATGATAGTTTGAACTTTATTATTTTTAAAGATTATTCTTGTTTTTCGTAATACAGTTCATTTCATATTTTTACTAAATATCACTTATTTTTAAAAAAATATAAACTGTTTTAGTTTTATTAAATGTCAATTTGTACTTTAAATGAATTACTTTAAACAGTTCTAAATTTAGAATCTATATTGGTTATTTCTCTAAAACTGTATTATATATGCATGTATAAATTTGGTGTTTGACTTATCTAGCAATTCAAAGCATGTCAGTCTTGTGATATTTTCTATTAAACTATGAATACATTTATCAAGCATTAGTAGCAAAACTTAAGTCTCTTATGTCGCAGAAAAGCAGCAACAACGAAAGAACATTGAATGCATTGCTTAAAGCTCATTTAAATTCAGTCTGTTTTGCTCTCTAAGTTTTAAATAGGAATTCTTTATTTTTGCTTTTGACCTTTTCTATCCAGACTAGTGCTCAGTGTTTAAATACCTTAATTGCAGCAACAGTGGTATCCATCTTATCCAGACGATTATCTAACTGCAAAGCATATGTATCAAGTGAGTTTATGTACAAAAGAAAAAATTGAAATGAGCTTTTTGTAGCCCAACTATGCCCAAAAGCATGTTGGCAGCTTCTTTTGCTTCATCACGAATTTGGGAACATGGGACATAACAACTTGTAACTATATGGTGGCAGCTTCTTTTTTTTCTTTCTCTCTTAAACCTGTCTTTTTATCCATATACATATTCTTTCCTTATATTCTTCTGCAGTTCATTGAAGCAGTGTCACAAAATACAAAACCAATTAAATGTTGTTACTTGTCAATTGTCTCTAAACATTTCTCGCATTTATTCAAAAAAAATTTTACTGAATCTCATTAAAGAAAAAAAGAAAATCCTATATACTTTAGAAAATAATCCTCTTTCTAACAAAGTGATAAATGATGTTTTATTTATTTTGAAAATCTGATCAATAAAACTTTATAGCTTTGAAATGGAAGCTGTTAATTGTAATTACTATTTGGAATATATAACTATTGTTGTTACACTAAATACAACAACTATTATGGAGCACAGGTAATAATAGTATTTTGGAATGGATGGTGATAGGTTTGGTGATGATTGTAATTATTAAAGACCAGGTAAACAAAAAAAGCTATTTAGAGTTATTCTCAAAACAATGTCCATTTTCAATGCCAGATATTTATGTTCTGTTTTCAGTTTATAATAATTTATGTTAAACATTTAACAAGAAGTTAATCATCAGTGTCGTAGTAGTTTCCAGATTTAGAGAAATGGGGATACTGAATGCTATGAAAAAACAAACTAACTGAATCAGAAACTCGTAAAAATAAATGCAAATAAAAAACAGTAACATAGAAATTATCCTGACTTGACTGTTTAATACAGAACTTACAATGGAGAAGCTGACAGATATTCCCTATATTTGTTATACCTTTTGATTTCTCCCATAAAATTCACTAGAATTCCTAAATGAGAAAAATTAACTGTAAAAATACACATGTTCAATATTTTAGGTATTTGTTGCCTTTAATGAGAATTAAAAAAGTGAACAGGACTTTTCTTTTTCAATATTTTTTTCTTTTAGCCTATAATCTGTTAGGCTCTGTTTTCAGTATCTAAAGGTAGATTGTGAGAAATTAACTGGAAATAACTAGCAGTCACAAATAATAAATGTTGTGGTATAAAAAGAGATTTTCTTATTTACCACAGATTTGTAAAATAACCTGTTTTTAATTAAACACAATTCATAGATTTGGTTCCATTATTTTCAACACTCAGCACTGATGAAAGTCTACTTGAGATGAAATTAATCTCAATAATCTCTACTGAGGTAACTGATATTTCTTTCTTTTTTTCTTTTTTTTAAAACATTGAAATATATATAAAGTTTGTCTTTATCTATTGTCAGCTATTAAAAGCAAATCAATTTTTCTGGCAAATATTTAGACAAATATCCTTATCTTTTGGCTGATACATTGTACAGTTTTTCTTGAGTGTATATTTCACTCTCTATTCTTTTGAAATATTTCAAAAATTCTTTTCCATTTTTGACCAGTACTCCAATTATTGGGTTCAGTCATAACTAATTTCTGTTTTTGGAGACCAATTGTAGTGATGAATGTATCACCCAACTGCTAATCATATATGGTAGTTAAGAATAAATTTGGAGTATACTAACAGACTTTAGATTTTGCATGGCAGTGGCAGCATACACAGAAAAGAAAAAAGTTTTCCACCATGACAATGCAAGGCTACATATAACAAGGACAACACAGGAAAAAGTTTGGGAACTCAATTAGTCTGTTTTACCCCACCTGTCATATACATTTGACGTTGCACCAACTGATTATTACCGTTTTTCAATCACTGCAAAATGCTTTGATAGTGAAAAATTTAACTTCTAAGAAAACCAGATTCAAGAGTTTATTGGAAACTTTTTCATATTGGGCATCCAGAATTTTACTCAAAATGTACCAAAGAGCTGCCTGAGAAGTGGCAACAAGTTATTGCAAATAATGGTGGATATATAAGTCAATAAAATGTAATTATACTTTATTTTTTGAAAAAAGAAAATTAATAAATGGAAATTATTTTTTAGTGAATGAGTTTCTTAGTTTACTAGATATTATTTAAAAAAAAAAAATTTTTATCATTTCACCCCCAAGCAAAGTGGGAATGCTACTATTACGCAGGGTGCTACAGAGAGTGAAAGAAAAGACTGGGTACAGTGGGTGACTGAGGAAAGGACAGAAGATGGTAATTGATGTTGCATTTAAGATTGTAGTTTTCAGGGAAGCAAGTAAACGGAAGGGAGTTACATTATCAGGAAGATCAAGAAAAACTGTTGGAATAGAAATGGTGGTTACATTTAACTATTTCAACAGTAAAAGGATGAGACCTAGATGCCAATCCAGTAGCACACTTAAATTCATGTAGTCGCAGCACCAGGGAAAAAAACAGACATGTGGAATGCTGGAAAATGCATTAGCTGAAATCGTGATAAAAACAACCAGGATGAAGATATTAGTTTTAATAATTCATAAAACAGTTGTCTAATGTTGAGTTAATTAACAATCAGCTTTATCCCTTATGTACAGCTTATGTCATCTTTATTTGTGTGTTACATTTAAAAGATTAATCTTGGAGAATTCAAGATGTTTATAATCTGTTAGATAAAAATGCAATATTATATTATCGTTAAACAATAGGAAATCTGTAGAAACAGTTCTTTTTCTTCAAATCTATTGAAAATATGACTATTACGAAAAAATAACTGCACATTCTATTCAAATTAAATGTACACTTTCCACATGCTAATATGCTTATCTAGTACATGAACTAAATATAGTATATAAACTCTATATAATAGCAGGTAGTTGAATGACAAAATGGAAAAAACACTAACGTGTTTTATTCCACAAAAGGACCTTATCAGAATAAAAAAAATGTTCTTATTGGTGAAATTTTATGTATGGAGGTGTGGTAAAAATATAAACCAAAATGTTGTTTATAATTATATATCAAGAAGAAAAACTGAAGGATGCTAAACTATAAATTTAAAATTGTTTGTGTCTGATGTATTTAGAAGTATGGCTGGGCCAACTTCATTCAGTTTCTCATCATCATCATTTTTAAATATCCCACAATGCAATAACAGTAGATTTGTTAAGAAAGGTGTGATGTGGTATGAAGCTGGACACAAATTTACCAGGGTAAACTCAGAAACTAGTACACTTTCTTTACATTGACTCTTAAATAGTAATGACATGATACAGTGGTGTCTTTTCCTATTTTTTAAAACAGTATTATTTATTTATTTAACAATGTAATTCATTATTAACATAAATTATCTAAAAAATGCAGGTTTACAAATTTGCAATTACAAAACTTATATTTTTTATCAGATCCTTTGATCTGATTCTATGAAGAAAAATAACACATTTTTTTTCATTACTTTTATAATTGTGTGAAAGAACATAGATTATATAACAGGCTGTAGTTACAATATTTCCAAGTGCCTTTTATCTTGTAAAATTTATATGCACAATAATATCTATATTGAAGAAAACAGGTATTGCAAAGTTCTTAACCTGATCCACTTCTCAAAATCAATATTTCAATGATCAAATACGAGAATTTTGATTTTTGGAAATGGGTTGGACTGAAAAGTTTGCAGTACCTTCTCATAGTTGTGTCTATAGATTTGTGTGTGTTTTTTATTATTATTACTATTATGTACCTCTAATAATTGCAAATTTTGCAAGTATTTAACTGTACTGATTGTGACATATATAGAAAGTGCAATTCTTGCTTGAGGTATCTTATACTTTCTATGCTACAGATACTTGAGTGTCAAATATTTCCACTTACAAATATTTATTACATTTATTATTTTACCAACATTATAGTCAATTTTTTTCTCAGTCCTGATCATATAGTCATAAGCAAATATTTATTGTTATAAAATGTTGTTTAAATTAAATGTTTGAAATAATTTAGTGCTTACAAGTTTCCTAATTAGTAAAATAAGGAAATATAGCTCTTTATGTTAAAATAGGTTATTTTAGTTAGCTGTGTGTTGTTTATAAAACTGTTTCTGATTGGAAATTAATTTTATATTTTTAATTAAAGTATAATCTAGGGAATCTTTGTTTTCAATTCATTTAGGGAGCAATATATAGAAGAACCTTGCTATTATACCAAGGATCTCTAAAGTATTTTTGTAATATTCATTATCATTATAACAATGTTTCCTGATATCCATTATCATTCAATATAATCATGTTCATTTCATACTCACTGAAATCTTATCAGAAAATTTGAGATAACCTCTCTTCATGCTTCAACATTAGCATTCTTAAGTTTTCATAAGGAATGGGATTCATGTGTAATGAAAGCTGTGTATTTACACAAATGGTAAAAATAACACAGTTCAAAAAGTTCTTAATTTCTTATGTCTCATTTTCTTTCCTTATTTTTAATTTCCCTTCCCATCACTTTTTAAATTTTAAATTTTTATTACTTCAAGCATTAGTTTTAGTGGATACTTGTGTTTGAAATAGATGCCAACTAAAACTAATGTTTGAAGTAATAAAAATGTTGGATCAAAAATGAATCCATTAATTCTTTAGAAATTGCTTTGTTTATGTTTCGGATATGAAACTGAGCAAATATAGATTTCAAGAAAATCTGATTGAGAGAGTCTGCATTCCTTAAAAAGGGACAAATAGAATCTGGCTGGGCTGTGATGTTCTCTATGGCCAAGCAGTCTAAAGCACACCAAATCAAACAGTGGTTTCTCCTACAAAGAGTGATGCCGGTTCAAACCCTGTTGGAGAGCACATTTTCTAAGTGTGCTGCAGGCTAATAGACTTAATACACTGTTAAAAAAAAAAAAAGAAAAAAAGACGTGTCTATTTCAAACACTGGTATCCACTATATATAAGCAGATTTATCTACCAATTAAATAGTTTTCAGACATGTGATGTTATTTAATATTTTGCCTTAGATATTATCTTTCAATTGATGTAGCT